TTTTTTTTTTTTTAAGCCCCGCTTCAGACTTTTTGTTTGTTTTTGTTTGCTCGCCCGTACTTGAATATACAAGAATAAGGACTGTTTTGCAGTCTTACTGCTGTTTTTAAATAGAGGTGTTATATCAGCGCATTTCCACTTATTGGGTAATAGACCAAGTGAAGGATTTACGTACTGATTAATGCACACAAACATGGAGAGAGAAACGATCGATGCACATTCCTTACTACTTGTATAGGTTGTTGATGACACGCCCCTTAGATTGTCAATGGGCTTTGAATAGCTTGGGATGGGTTGTTCAAAGCTAGGATAAATAACCCAGGGTTAGTGCAAAATTTTACTTCAGATAGGAAAGCTTAGAAAGCAAATTCTGTTTAAACCTTTTTGTGTACAGTTTATGTTTAGATGCTCAAAACAGAAAAGAGAGAATTATCTGAGAAAATGTTTTTGAACCGAAAGAAAAAGAGACTCGGATTAAAATTTAACCCCGAGTTAGCGTTGATCGGCCTTCGATAGCGAACAACTGGGCCCTGATATTTTTAGACGGTCACTTCCTAATTCCCGGGGAAGAGGGGAAAGGAAGTGCGTTAATAATCCCTTTAGGGTTGTCGTATCGTAAGCCAAGATTCCGATACCTTTGTGTGTAAAAATTTAGGCTTGGATCATAATACTGTGCTAAAATTCATTAATTTTCTTTCAAAAACTCGAGCATAATCAACTTTTTTTTATGCCAGTGATATTAAGTATTTCTTTTCTTCGTCGATGTTTTAAGGCTAAAAAAATGATGTCATTTTCTACAGGTTGAATTCGACTCAATTGATCACTCTGCTCCTTGACTCCAAACTAATTTCCGTTCTCTGTCTCATGGGAAATTTTGGATGTGGAGATGGAGGATGGACACCGGTCATGAAAATGGACGGCAGAAAGGTTAAGACAGTTTTATTTTGGATTCTGATCTTTTTCGTTTTCGTGGTGAGGGAGGTGCCATCTTGACCGCCATCTTGGATTTTACCAAGAATCAGAAATCAGGTTAAAACCGCAAGAAATGGTAATTTTTTGTGCTTGACATGTCAAATAACGCATAAATAATGAGCATTTTGCATCATTTTTTCCACAATCTCTACTTTTATTGTTGAAAGAAGTTGAACACCTGTTATTTATGACGTCATATCTCGTAATCATAGTAACTGACCATCACCGAACTTGTCTCAAAATGCGTGCGAGGCCCCGTGCAAGGGATAAACAAACAGCTACTGGAAATGTCATGTGCTGATGTTTTATCGTCTAGGAAAAAACTCCTTGTACGTCTGAGGGTTAAAAAAATTTTGACGATTAAAAATGCCTTGTTTCTGATCTTTTTGCATAGTTGATTGCTACCTGGTTTCATGGGCATAGTTGCTATGTTCTGTGAGAGAACGATCAGAGGGCCACTCACTTTAGATTTGTCTGGGCGAGAGCCAGTGGTTCTGTCCTTCCGTACTAGTGGCTGCACGCTTTAGTCCCTTTTAAAAAGTGGAGCCAGCCTCGAACACAATTTTTCTTGGCCTTGCCCTTGCGGACCTCAGTTTGGCCTAAAAATAATTTAAGGTGAGGACTTGGGCCCTCTCGCTGTCCTTCCCTTAGATCCGCCACTGCGCATGACCCATTTTAATGCCAGTTTTTCTATCCTTACAGGGAACGTTTCACTACGATTCCAGTCTCTGGAGAAACAAAGAAACCCTTAACCTTGACGGAGGGAAGACTGGGTTCGACTCACAGGAAACCAAACTTCCCTCCTACTGGAACACATCCTTCTCCAAGATCTGCCTCGGTATGAAGATCGGTCAGCAGATCAGGTTTATTGTCATCAACAAGCAGGCGAACTCTTTGTACTCTCTGATCGCTGGTGGGCAATACCACGGCACCTCACTAGGTCGTGACACGTGGAAGTCGCTGATTGGTTCTGAGGCCTCCTTGCAACAAAAATGTAACTTGGAAGGGTTTAACGTCATGAGTCCTTATAATCACTCCAAAGCAAGAATTGGTATCCTTGGTAACGAACAAGACGACTGCACCACCTGTGACTCTAGGATCGGTCTTGGTACTGGAGGATCCCCAGCTGATAATTCTAACACATGTGGAAACGAGGCAATAGATTCAGCAGACAACGGCCACAAGCATATACAGGCAATGGGTTATATCTTGGTGCAGTAAAACGATATAAATTATTACTCAAACATTTTTGACAATCATGTAAGCAGTCACAGCATTCGGATTCTTACCAACTTGCAGTGCTGCATGTTGTTCCGTGAAAGCGAACTTTTCAATCGTCTACTTGGTAATAGGAACATGTTTTATTCTAGTTTGTTGTCATGTCAAGGTGGCCGACAGGGGATCTGTTGAAATGCAGGGGCGCGCCATGGATTTTGATCTTATGGTTAAGCACACGGCTAAACTGTAAATACTGGTCGAGTTACCTTGAATAAGTTATTTTTCCTAAGTTGAGGTTAATTATAATAATTAAAGATTTTTGTTGTTATTTCATCTTCAAAGATTTCTTGTACATAGTTGAGTCAGTTACATGACACCATAAATCTGACACCTCAAAAAATTTATTGTGAAAAAAATTATTGTTAAGAGAATCAGTAGTACGCTATTACTGGTCCTGCAAAATTTCTGCGGGTTTATTTTCACTGAACAACACTCAATATACAGAAATTAAAAATAAACTCTCACCAAATCTTATCATAAAATCATCTTCCCAATATTCTTAACAATCATTATTTAATTTTTGATTTTGCGAAACTCAGGCTTGATTATCCCGGTTCCTTAGATTTTCGTCTCTTTTTAAAGGGCTAGAAAAAAACCTCCTCTATTAAACGCGCGGCCACCTCTCCACAATGGCCACCTCTGTACTTTTGTCCCGACGGTGCAAATAATGCATACATTTTGACTCTGGTTTCAACCTTACAAGACCTTACAACGACCACCTCTTGATAACGGCCACTACTTCTGTTCCCAAGGTGGTAGTGCTGTACGCTTTATCAAGGTGACACAACTTGATTTTGGATTGCGTGACAATCATACGACATTGTCGGCTTGCATCCGGGGAGGACTGGCCACCAGGGTTGTCACATGGCAGGGAGGAAAACTGCAAGAGGCGACACAAAACAGAAAAAAAAGAAAAAAAGTCTAAAAAAATCGCATTTGTACGTGTCTGATTGACCTTGCATACGATCAGCAACGGACAATACCGCGTTTCTTCTCGATAAACGTGGTAAATAGCGTAAGGCAGACGAGTTTGAAAGACATATAACTCTTTGATGCCAAGATGGAGCTGTGGAAGTGTTCGGCGTTATCTCTCATCATTTTCGGATTTTTCTGTGCTTTTGCAACAAATAAGCATTGCGAATGGGTGCTAGATGTAGTTCAAAAGGAAAATCTCTCGCAAGTGGCACCTGTAGTCATTCCAGGTGGACAATATTTCCTGAGGATTAGAGTGAAATGTGATGACAAGGTAAACTGCGTTAAACTATGATTGTTGATTTCACTTCGAAATTCTAATGCCATGTCATCAGTCTAATAAATGTTTTAAAAAGCCTTGTGCTGTTAATCCACGACTATAGGGGGCTTAACCAACGACTAAAGCGACCGCAACGAGGACGGCAAAAAGGCAATAGGAAATTTTGATTAGATTTTTTAGCAAAACAACTCTGCACGTGCATCACGCTTTCTCGTACATTTCTTGCCGTTGTTGCACGACAGCAACGTGGAACTTCCTAACTTCTCGTTTTTTGGAGGACGCGAACACAATATAATGGTTTTCTCTTTCTTTTTCTGAAATTAGATACAGCCCAGTTATAATTCAATTCCGAAAAAATTCGCCAACATTTGACAAATTGAAAGAGGAAGAGTAATAGTGATGAAATTGGAAACAGCTCGAATTTACTGTTAGCTGTCGTTGTTGCTTGAGCTCTCTAATATAATGATAAATAATACTTCATTATCATGTCACCGAGACACGGGAATAACATACTTTGAATATTCCGGTACACGTGTTTATTAATCGTTTTAGCACTTGGTTTCATGATATGCTTAATTCTCTCTACAGATCCATTCTCAAGTGTTAAGATCATTAGTATTAACAGGGGTTAACCCAGTTTTGAACATTGAATCAGAGTCCTTTGGGATGAATCATCACGGTACGAGAAGGTTTTCAGCCCTTATTTCAGGTGTACTTACAGAGCTTGGAGATCAGCTGAGCTGTGGATGTCTTTCACGAAATAAAACGAATAGAATTGGGAGGTAAAATTATGTAACTTTGAATGTTACTGCCCTAACAAAATACAGCTGATGGGCATTTGACTTATCATTGTAATTTTTACTGCTTTTTTTGTGCATGACATGGATTGATTTATCCTATATTATATTATATTTATATCCTTTATCCTTTATATGATCATGACAAAGTAAATAAATAAAAAAAAATAGGAAAAAAAAACAATATCCTCTCCCCTTATGGGCTTTTTATGGATCGATGAACTAATAATTCGAACTGAACATCATCTGGTTAAGAATCAGGGAGGAGGCCGGGTTCAGGACTACGACAACAAATCCAGCTTAAGAGGACAGGGGGGAACTTGACCTCTGGGCCACCGGACTCTTGCTGCTTGGCCAGCTGCCTTTGAATATATAAAACAATAGCTGCCAAATGCAGCTGCTATGTGAAACCAGAAGTATCTCCTGGTCTGACAAATACATGCAAGCCAATTGGAAGAGAATCTCACAACTTAAGAGAAGATGTCACCATGGTGGGGCTAAGTTTTGTTTCAGGCAACAATTTCACTGTATTCAACCTCAAGGGTAGTGGGGGAGGGGGGAGGGGAGGGGATTTATCATATTTCAAAAACCTTTGAATGCAGAGGACCTATCAATGCATAGATAAGCTCAACTGGTTCCCTCTCCCCAGTTTCTAATATAGAGATGCTAAAGCCAGGTGTCACTTAATGTTGGAATTAAGACAAAAGTGAATACACGGCTGGTAAAATTATACGGTGAAGGGCGGATTTATTTCAGCACCTAATATTTCAGCTTACAAAATTAGCCTTTCTCAGGGCCTGTCAGGAAGGCTATTTTTTCTAGCCAAGTTATTGGCACCACATGAAATCAGCCCTTTGCCATATAGTCCACAGTTTCAAGTTTGTTATAATTGACCTCTATGTAAAAGACGTGAGGACGCATTTTTTAAACGGGCTTATAGCCTCCATCTGAGGTAAATATATTCACAACCCTGTATGAATGTGTTGTTGTAATGTTTGTATTTAGCACAAACTTTTAATTCAAAACTGAATTATTACCAGTTTTACCATAATTGTTTTTTTTTTATGAAATAGCAATACTGTGCATATTCTGTTGGGAGTAACTTATGCTGCCCAATAAAGGTTAAGGAATGCTCTTCCAGAATTTAATCATATTTGGTTAAATTTTTGTTTCAGTTCAAGTGAGTGCTTTTGTAGTAGAATAAAGCCCCTGTGTAAAGAGCCTGATGATATCCAAATGGAACAAGCAGGAGTAGAATGCTGTCAAACTGCAAAGAACTGTTCAAACTTCTTAGAGCTGTGTAACCCAGCCTGGTTTGTCCCTCTCCATATTGCAGACTCAACAAATGCATTGCACTCTGAAGTTGTTGACAGTGGTATTGGCCCTTATATAAACTCCCAAAGGTAATAAGAAATGTTTGATAGCGACAGTGTACATTATCAACATCAGTGTCAGACACAGAGCTATAAGTTGCTTTCTGTTTGGCATTGTTGACTTGTGTCACTAAGTGTGACAAGAGGAATTCAAGAGTACAGTGATCGTAGATCTTATAATCGGCCTTAAAAAAATTTGATACAGTAGATGTGGTACATGTATTAAAACAGAAAGAATTTAAGGTGGAATCCACCAGGAAATTGAGCAATTTTAATTTTCAAATGGACAAAGACCTTGTACTAGAATAATTTATTATAATCAAATTTACATTTTTGAAGGGCTTAAGATGTAATTAGTCGTCTGTAATAACACCAAAGAAAATTTCTTATGAGAGCCCGCGAAAAGGAATTTCAAATTTCACAAAATTACATCTTTCACATGAAATTTTCACAATTTACCTGTGTTTTCACAATTCGTAGGAAATTTGACATTCATTTTCTTGGGCTCCCATAAGAAATTTTCTTTGGTGTTATTACACATAACTAATAACATCTATAGCACTTGAAAAAAGTAAAAAAGAATGCCATATTCTTTAAATTATTCTGGTACAAGGTTTTTGTCCACTGAAAATTAAAATTACTCAATTTCCTGATGGATTCCATTTTAAAAATCTTATGATGGAATTTAAGTTTAGATGATCTGCTTAAAGGCCGTGGAAGCAAAGTTGAAAAGATTACTTTCAATTATTGCTTGCACATGTTCTAGTTAGCAGAATTATTAAATTCCCTTGATAGTCTTTATATGACAGACCCATTTCTTTCTTTTGTTGTTGTTGTATTTATTTATATTTTTTTTTTTTTTTTGCTTGTCATGCAAACCTCATTTACCCTGAGCAACAATTGATCGCCTTTTTGAAAATTAGAGCCTCCATGTGTAAAATATTTGCAGCAACTTTATTTAAATTTACTGATGCATTCCTTCCTTTGGTTTCAGATTGACTTTGCATTTGGACGCCTTTCATTTTCCAATCAATAACACAATTCACAACAGACTAGGTGCTGAAGAAACACAGCTGCCCTCACTTTCCAAAGAGATCCCAGTGAGCTGTCTTCCAAACCTCTCTCCTATTTGCCTCATTGGATCCGATGAGATGACAAACCATGTTATTTACACCAGTTCAGAATTTGAGAAGATGCAGTTCTTAAAGATTCAGGTTAGGTCCATTACATTAACTTACTTACAGATATTCTAAATGCTGAGTAATTTGAAAGCTTACAGCTAATTTTGGTTTGTACTTTTCTGTGTCAAATAATTTTTGAACTTGAATTTTGAGTTTGGCAAAATTCCATTTTCATATTTTCTCTCCAGCTTGAAAAGTCTTTTGGAAAAAAGTGTATTCTTAGACAAACTATGCCAACTGTACAGGTTAAAGGGGCGTTAACTCTACCAGACAGAATTCTGCTGAATACTGATGTAAGTGTTGTTTCAGTTCTTTTCAATGTTCAGTTTCCCTCATGATCTGACCATGCCAATAATTAAATTTTCTAAACATAACTGTTATGCACTGACGATTGAAATACTTCAAGGGTGTTATAGCGGAAATTCTAGAACTATATTCTTTTGGACTGTGAACAGGTCATCAAATTTTTTCATAAGATCGTCAGGGTTGAGCTCTGACTGGTACGGGCAACTACATATCTTGGTTTCATAATGTACCGAGGTGGAGGGTGTCGGGGTTTATCCTCAGGCTATACTCTGAACATTTGAAACCAAGATGGCCGCCTGTTCCGCAAAGCACTTGATCTGGACAATCTTACGGAAAAATAGGCGACTGTGAACAGTTTTGACTATTCTCCTGGATTTCATATGATCAATAAATCTGTTTGTTTGTTTGTTTTTCTTTAAAAGGTGGGTATATTTGAGATGCAAGGTAATGGATTTAAATGTGAGTACCTGTTCTTTGAAGGATTATCCTTTAACTAATTACGATACATGGTCAAACTTTGAAACGACTGAAATCTGCCTTTACTTTGTGTTCCGG